AATGATAAAATTATTCGTAAAATGGATAAAACGTTGGAATGCAAAGCAATCATTTGGCATTTGGAAGCATTTGCTTCAAAATGAACTAGGGCATGTGCTTAAAATAATGAAATGTAAGAATTAGGTGTAGAAGTCACTGTATCAGTGTTAATGACTTGGTCAATAATTCCTGTGAAGTAGGAATTCCATTAGATGAAACAAGAAGCAAGAAAATCAAATTCTTCACAACTTTATCTCTTAAATGTTTATGTGTTTCGATTTTGGATTATTTATTAACTATTAGGTAGAAAAGAAAGAGAGTGAGTGAATCCATTATACGAAACAGGGTGTTCTGTTTTCACTCTTTTATTATCCCTTTAGCTCTTTGCTTTTATAAATGATATTATTCTTTTAGCTTTATTCAATGAGTGATTTTTCTTTAATTTTTTTTAAAAAGAAATGAACAGCATTTAATGAAAAACAGAATATTTCATTCAATTCGAAAATTCAAAGGGGCCGAATATTTGTTGGTATGTAATGTTTTGAAAATTATGTTAGGTGAATAGTTAAAGAATTAAAATTAAAATATGTTTCATATTTGTTGGCATTTAATATTTGTTGGATAGATTTTTTTTTTGTATTTTCGAATAAAAAATACAATTCTTAAAGAATTGTTTTAGTAATTTTCAGTTTAAAAAAGTTTAAAAATCTCTAAACTTATATTATAAAATTTCTTTTTTAAAATTTCAATAAACAAGTTTAAGGTAACATACTATCAAACTTTATATTATGGAGCTTTGTTCTATACAATGTACCAAAAACGACCTTAATTCAATAAATTCTAATAAGTTGGCTTGATTTGTTTTAAACTACAGTAACATTGGTGTTTATATTAGTCTTGATACAACATAGTTGCATTTTGATAAAGCTATGTCACGTCAACCCCTTAATAATACCCAATTATTTACTATATAATTCGCTTACCCTATTCTTAAATTGCATATTTACCAAATGCAACCCAAGAATTCCTAACCCTACTACTAAGAGCCATGTTAAAGTTTGAATAGAACATTCTAATGCATTGTTTAATCATTGCACGCAGTTGAATTTATTATACCTAACATAAAATGGAATCCCGTGATGGCTTAAAGAGATCATTTTTATTCTTTTTTCTTTTTCACCAATGATTGAAGATATTTTATTTCAACTCTATGAATGGCTAATTAAGTTTACAATAAAATATATTCAGGAACACCCTTTTATTTTATTTTAAAAAAAAGTGAAAGTGCAAGTTGTCTTCACCATTTGGCATTTGATACAACTCTACTACATATGCAATAATTTGTGTGATTTAGGTATTTATCAGTTTTCAAACAGTACTATATATAAATGATCTTCAAATAAGTTTGACAACTTTGTAAATGTTTTATTAGTGTCAAAATGAGTAATGATTGATATGAGTTTCTCTATTCAACTTTTTCCTTCGTCCTATCAATAGATCTCGTTCGTAGTTCCGTACAATTTTTGTTTTTGGGTTTCTTCCGTTAACAATGAGTTAGAGACTTTCTAAACATACAATCACCAATTTTGTTTTTTGAACAATATCTCAAAATTATCATTTATTTATTTTAGTTCATAGTTTTAAGACCAATTAAGGTCAACGATGTCTCCTTCAAAAATTAAATTAGTACATTTTCACTTTCTATAATATTAATTGTGCACTAAAAGATATAAAAAATGAACAAAAGACTTAAGTATATTGTAGTTCTAAGATCTTAAAAGATTACTAGATAACTTCTTCTGAAAGATCAAATTGAGTGGAGTGAATTTTTTTGACACATAAGTAGACATTTACCCTAAAAAAGCACACGAGAGAAAAAGAAAAGATAGTGAGGCTCTGAACTCCCACACACCATAAAGAGGACAAAGGCTGAGAGAAAGACTAATTGATTTGATGTGATTTTAGTGACATTTTGTTAGCACATGAAGGAAGGAGTAGTACTCAGTAAACAAAACAATGCAGCATGATTTTGCCATTACTCACTGTTCGGAGGTAAAGACGAAAGTTGTAGCTCAAATTTGAAAACCCTCCTTCAAGAAAAAAGTGTTCCAGTTATGATTATCACAAGATGGTTTAAAAAAAGTGGTGCTCTAGACATGTACTGGTTATGATAAGATACCAAGAGAAAGAGAGAGAGTGTGTATGTGTTGTATAGTAGTAGTACCATCTTAGGGGTGGGTCGGTGGGTGGTTGGTTCCCTGGGGCAAGACAAGTGACCCCATGCCACATTGATGCCATTAGTACTCACTCGAGTCCCAACAACACACTACTTGCTATACAATTTCAATATATAGTGAACAGTGGTGTTTCTCTGTTTTCTTACCCTCTTTTTTATTTTGTCTGTTACCCAAAATTTTGATCAAAGTCTATATGCATGTTGGCATAGATATATTACATTACACGCGTGTTGCAACTTGCAATGCTATGGCTATCCTCCTCAACCCCCCAAAGGTAATTTCTTTTAGCATTGTCTCTCTCTCCCCTCTTATCTAGGTGCACTTTATAAGGTGATCATGATGGATTGAGTACATAATGAAAATAACTTTTTTTAATATAAGTTTATAAATTATCATACCCAATTTTGGTTAATTGTCTCCCCTGCTTCTCACCATTAAAATTCATATCTCTTTAGATTAAGAAAAGGAAAGAAGCATAAGAAAATGTTTAGGAGTTAATTTAGATTATCATATTAATATTGTATATATAATTATTTTCATTTTTTTTTACCTCTTTTATATCTATTTATCTTAAAAATAAATTAAAAAATGAAAGAGATAATTAAAAAATATTCCTTGAAATTGTTGGAAAAAGAGAAAACCATTTGAGAATTATAATTCAATGGGAGGGAAAAGGACAAATCACTGAGCATTTGTTAATGGTTGGGTGCCGCTGGGGCTGTGGTTTTTGTGGCTTGATGGAAGCATTTTCATGTGTATATATATATAGGTTACTTATATCCATGGAATGGCTAACATTCCCCACCCCATTTATTCGGTCAACAGTGTTTCAGATGAAGGTTCAATTTAATTGCATAGCTTATGGTGGAACCAACATTATATCCAATTATTGATAATTCAATGGTCAAAATAGATTACTAATAGCCTTACATCTTATTCAATCTTTTGTGGTTTTGCCCCTTCTGCTTTCCTTCTACTAACTAGTGATATATGGATTTAGAGGAGGAAATGAACACCTAATCAAACTGAGAAAGATATAATAATGAAAAAATTTTGTAAAAATGCATCCACTTTTATAATTTTTAATATATCTTAATTTAAGTTTTAATAAAAAATATTATTAATTAATCTTTAATTAACTTCCTTAAAGTATTAGTTAACATGACTCAATTCTATTTTACACATTCATTTTAATTACAACATTCTTCATCGTTGAAAATTTCATACACGATTTATTAAATAATGTGACTTTTATTTTATTTAACAAAAATCTATTTATTGTTTACTTAGACATGCATAAGTCTTACCTAATAAAGAAAAAGCATCCAAAAGAATGTGTCACCAAATAGTAATTTTTTTAAATCAACAATTCAAAAGATAAACAAAGAACAACCAACGGTGTAGTGAAATACACCACAATTAGTGGTGGTGTGTGGACAATTAAGTTTGAATAATAACATTCACTAAACAATTTTTACATAAACAAATTCTTTCAAATATTTATTACTGGTTTTGTGGGTATTTGAGATTTTTTAAAAAAAATCAATGAATTTACTTGTATAATTACAAAAGTTGTTAAAAATAAGAATTAGTAACCATGCAAGAAGAATCGAGAATGTAGCAATAAATTGGCATAGAAATGATAGTTTATGCATATATGCAATGGATATAGCCTTATGGTTAGTAATAGCAGCTTTAGCTTAGTGGTGCCAAAAGTTGGTATTATCCCCTCCGCAAATTGGGGTCACCGCCGCGCAACGCAGCAACTTTAATTTGGATTAATTAACTTACCTTCAAAGATTCGTTACAATTCTTAAAACAAATTAAGCCATGCTAACAACAAACCCAATTATAATTAATTAACTAATAATGTGATTTCCACTCAAATTCATCGTTTAATTTTGCTTCACTTTTCAAAACTAAAACTATATCCAAACATTTCTAGAAAAAAAAAATAAAATTCTCGGTGGGTCTAACTTTATCGCCTCCTATTATAATAATCACTTTTCCTTATTTAAACAACTAAAATTTTATATTGTATATAACTTTTAACTTTTTAAAGATATTTTGAAAATACACCTAAAAATAAAAAATAATTGAATTTATCTTCGAAATTATTTAAAAAAACATTTTTTCATAGCAATAGAATGACGATGAAGGTGCACACTTTATTAAGTCATCATATCATGACCTTTGTTAGAATGTTTTTTTCTGACAAACTTAGAAAACAATTTTATTCTTTTTTACTTTTGAAATATATGTATATAAATAAAAATAAAATAATTATAAATAATGTTAAATATAGTATCAAATTTAATTAACCAAATAACAGTAAATTTTAAATATAAGTTCAAGAATACGATATACAATAAATTTCTCTTAAAAATAATAAAATATTTAATACATTAACAATATTGAATATTAAAATTTTATAAAAATTGATTATTTCTTATTTTTGACGTATATTTATGCAAATATTAAAAGTATTTTTTTAATCTAAATAATATTTTAACATAATACAAAAATTTATAAAATTTAATGTATCAATATAATTAAATATTATAATTTTTAATATAAAGTTTACTATTTATTAAGTTTTTAATGGTAAAGATTGGAAAAATGGTATTAAAAAACCGATAACAAAATATGCTCTTTAAACTATTCTGAAACATATCTGACGGTGGGAAATTAATCACTTACTTGGTTACAAACAGTATATTATACTAGTAAGAGAGGGGTCATACCAAATTTCTTCATTTAAATTCCGTCTTGACCCTTGTGGTCCTCTACGCCAACCCAGTACTAAAGGAATTTTTGTTGCCTCTGCAGCTAACTACAGCACCTGAAACAATGAATTTTGAAAGCTCTCTTCCTTTAAAACCCTTTTTCCTTTCTTTCCTTCTGCAATAGAGAGACAGAGGACTCAAGTTCTCCCTAAACCCTTCAATACATTGTATTCAGTTTTCCACTTCCTTTTCTTTCTGTTCATTTTTCTTCTGTTTCATCTTCAAGGATCTTATCTAATTCACCATAAATCTTTCTTTCAGAAACTGCTTATCATAATCCAGTTACCTAATCAGATTCTCAATCTCAAACCTCAGTTTCTAAAAGCTATTTTTTTCTTCTGAAGAACTAGTGGATGAAGTATAAATAAACTCCTTTATCTGGGTCTTATTCTTCTCAATTTTCCAAGCAGAAAGTTCCTTTCTTTTCCTTGTTTTAAATTCTGGGTGTTGTGAAAAATTATTAATTACAAGTGTTGCAACGCGCCAATGATGGATCTTTTTCAAAACCCATCTTTTCTGAAATCAAACAGATTTGAAACAGCTATATGGGCTTCAAAACTGGTGCTCATGTCCATGGGAGTTATCTCCACCCTTGTTTTGTTGAAAGTGGCAATAGTCCCATACACATTCCACCTTCTTCTCTCAACTCTTCCTCACCTTTGGATCTCAGCAAGAAGCTGGCTAACACTACCATTCCTTTACATCATTGTTAACTTCATCATCATCACCATTGCAGCTTCCTCCAATTTCCATCACAAAAGCAATAACAACCTACCCTTTTCTGACTCACTTGCACCTTCTGATCCTAAGCACACAACAACCACAACCGTCACCACAGAGCTAGAGAACCAAATCAATGAACCAAAGGAAGAAGAAAAAGAGGTTGAAGAAGAAGAAGAACAAGAAGAAAAAGAGGTTGAAGAAGAACAAGAAGAAAAAAAAGTTGTTGAGGAAGAAGTTAAAGACACTGATTTTTCATGTGACAAATTCATGGTAGACCCTTCACTTGAAAAATGCACCAATGACTATTTCTTGCCTGATTCTGACGACAAGAGTGAGGACACGCTGGAAGCCACGTGGAGGGCTATCATGGAGGGACAAGGGAAAACGACGAAGCCTCATCTGAAGAAGAGTGACACATGGGGTGCAAGGATTGCCAAAGCAGAACCATTCAATCACAATGGTGAGGGTGGTGATGATGATCCTGTGGCTTGGGCTCAAAGGGAGCTCAAAAAGTCTGAAACTTTCAATGATAGAGCTTCCTTGAGGAGGGAAAAATCAATGAGTCCCGAGGAACTGAATCTAAAGGTAGAAGCCTTCATTAAGAAGTTCAATAATCAAATGAAGTTGCAGAGGCTGGAATCTTACCAGCGTTTCATGGAAATGGTCAATCGTGGGGTTTGATGTGGTTAATCTTTCTTTTTCACCAGTCACAGTGAAAATTTAGCAAAATGAGAATCTCTGGAAGTGTTTTAACCATTTTGGAGGTACATATATTAACTATATTCTTAATTTTGTATCTTGACTCTCATTGCATGTGTTATGCAGAATTTCACTGTCGGTTATGTGTGTTACTGTTACCATATATAACATAATTGTTGCTATAAAACCATTCATTATTAGCCTTTTACCTAACAAGTTATGCTTTTAGAATGGTTAGTCTTGTCAAGGGGTAGATGACAACTGTTCACATTAATGCTGGATTAGAATAGTAGTTAAATACAGCACTTTCATGTGGAATCTTTTTTATGGCTAAATTAAACATAATCAAATGTTTGTTGAACTTTTTATCCGTTTTTTCTACGAAGCATGACCTCAGAAAGGATTCTATTAGAGCTTCTTGCACACACAAATATGTGTTCATATGACTCCAAAAGAGACAGTATGATTCCATGGTATATATCTATGGCATCTTATATTCTTGAAGCATTGGGCTTTCAACACCTGGCAAAACATAAGTAGTAGTTAGCACCATTAAACGAGTTTAGCTTTGATTAAGCTGTTCCACCTACCAAACACTTGATTGAAGGGTAGAAAAATATAATCTACATCATTACTACATAATATATCTAATTCCATTTATAAATTTGATTTGTCGGTTTCTCTGTGTTGACCTTTTTTCTTCTCCCTTGGCAGGACTTGCTATGTACATATTTTTGCTGCTGAGACTGTGTGAAGAAGCCAAGACAAGCATCAGACATGGTGTACTTTTTTTCCGTTGTCAAGTTTCTTGTGACATAGTGGGCATAAGTTAGTTTCAACCTAATCTGTTGTTTTCGTTCTTTTATCTAGATATTTGCCCTACCTGTTCTACTAAACTACTCCGAAGTCTAGTGTTTCTTATAATGTATTAATGTTTGTATTGATTATGTAGTTTGAACTTTAGGTAGCATCATAAGGGTATTATTATTTCAAATTGAATGTACAATTTCAGCAATTTTACGCAGACCTAATTTAGTTAAGTCAGCTTTGAAATGCTTGTTGAATAGTTACCTTTTTCTTATTTCCTTTTATTATTATTTTTAATTACAATAAAACCGACATACAAGGAAAGGGAGAACAAACCTGGAGACATACCAGTTGAACAAAATCGCCTACGTCTACCAATAAAAGTAACAACCGTACTCATGCAAGGAGATGATAGTTGTTAGTTGCTAGTGTTTATTGATAGACCAAACTCATGGAGTTGGAATAGAGACTCGGACCCCCTTTGGCGTATTATGGACAAAGAAAAGAACTGTGCCTTATATTTTTTTTGGAAAATGGGTTGAAGTGAATGAACATGGACAAATTGAACGTAACGTTAACCGTGAGTTGTCGCTTCAACTGTGCATGGTTGCATGTGGCCATCAACTAAGATATGCATCTTGGCTTAAACAGATTGGTTATGCTGTCAAAATCTCCAAAGGCACAATTAGATTTGGGATCAAATTATGGGATTAGGGACGTAAACTTGGTGAACACACGGGCACATGGATATTATCTGGCAGAATGGTGTAGATCATTATATATGTAGTGGGACTTGCTATTTCTTTAAGCCTTCATTTTAATTATGATCCCCTTAGGTCGGAAAGCAAAGCAAGTTGCCTTGCCCCTTTACATGCCAGTGAAAATTGAAACAGAAGAGCCCCATGTTCCTTGTTGTGTCACGAGCTTTGAGTGGTTTGAGAGTACAGAACCTCATAAAGAAGTAGGACCTTCGTACAATTTGAAATATAAGTGGAACCAAGCAGTGAGAGTCTTTTATTTATAAAAAACCACACAATCGGACCCCCTCATCTCCTGCCTGCAAAATGCCTTTAACTTCAATTAGAAAAGTTCACTTTTATTATGAAAATTTGGCGTTCTCTTTCTATTTTTAACCTTTCTACTTTTGGACGTGGAATCTACTGCCTTGAAAATAACCATGTATAATTCAATAACTAGTTTTATTTTCCTTTAATGGAAATCTTAATTATCTACACTAGGACAACGGTCAATTGGGGCTGGTTTGACGCGTTAGGCATAACTGTTGCTTATGGAACAATTATGTCTAAATATTAATTAGAGATGATGTACAAGCTAGAGGACCTAAGCTTGAGACCCAATGTTTGCCATTATCAAAGACTAGTCCTTTTCTTATTAACCACTAATGGAAACAAACCAGAAAATACTTGTACACGTTGTCAAGGCACAAGTAAGCTGTGGGCCAGAGGCTTTTGAATAGTGACCCAGACAGTGTAGGGCAGATATCAGAAGTGACTCCTACAGCAATAAGGCATTCAGGCGCTGCTAATTAGCATTTAAGTTGGCGCAATGGCTTCAAGATACAGCATTCAAAATTACCTCTGAAATAGACTTATATGTGCCAATTTCCAGTGGCTGCAACAAAAAAGCTTCGATTATCTTTTTATTGCCAAGAACTTGGCATAGTGAAAATTAGGAAACGTCCAAGGGAGCCTTCATTGCAAGAACCATTTCCTGTGTACATTTGGACGCCAAGTCCCGCTTTTTATAATCGAAGGAGCCTAGAATAAATAGGACAAAACTCATGCGATATTTTTTAGGTGCTTGTTTATCAATTAAAATTAGTGATTTATTTTAACAAACGATTTGTATTTAATGTTATTGTATGTTACTGAGGTAAAACTTCAATTTTGGCCGAAAAATTTCACCAAAACCACCTGCACCTAAATTTTGTTTGAATAAATACCGTTGAACAATATCGCTGGTCAAAATGATGCCGGGTTCGTTGCCTGAGAATCTATGAAAAAGTTTTGGAGAAGCTCATATCATTGGTGAAACCTGAAGTTTAGCAGGCCGGATTATTTATTTTCTGTGGTCCAATTTCTTCTGGATTTGGTTGAAAATAGCATGAGTTGTTTGTTGCAACTTGTTCGGGAAACGTAAGTCACATAAACAAATAATCCCAATTCGTTTTTGGTAATCAGAGAAGTGTAGAATGGATAACGTTCGAACAATATTGCTGATTTAAATGATGCCACGTCCGTTTCCTGAGTATCTATGGAAAAAATTTGGAGAAGCTCATATCATTTGGTGAAACCTTTTGAAGTTTGGCAAACCGGATTATTTTTTATATGGTCCGATTTTTTTCTGGATTTGGTTGAAAATAGCATGAGTTGTTTGCAGCAACTTGCTCGGTAAACGTGACTCCCATATACAAATAATCGTGATCCATTTCTTCCCTGTTCTCTCTCGTTGATAAAAACCAATGGTGATGTGATATACTCTACGTAAGAAAAATGCACATAAAAATTACGTGGAAAAAGTAATTGCTATTGAAATATTATTCCTTGGAATAATTCTATTCACAAGACAATATTTTACAAATCTTTTTTTTCTCTTTATCACATTCATTTTATCTCAGTTCTTTCTCTCTTTTTTTTCCCTCTCTCTCTCCTTGATGTATGTAATGTTGAGGAAAACGTGTGAAAATAACATTCCTTTTGTAGGTACAAGGGGACATCATCTATGCATACAGAATTTAAATATTAGTAACTATGACAATTTAATTACATAGTAGCAGCAGCATCTTTGTCAACTTGTAAAAACGTTTTTATTTTTATGGTTGGATGGGGATTTGATGAGTGTTCAAAAGGGCTAACAATTCAATATGGTGCTGCTATAGCTTGACCTACAATGGGTTCACCCAAAAATAATGAAAAGACCTACAATGGGAGTGGGCCAGTGGCCGCCGCAAGATTATCACATGGCATAGGCCGATAAATGGCTGAGATTAAAGGCCCAATCCCCGTCCGTCCGTTCGTTCGATGCAAGATATAGAGAAACAATCTGTGCCAACATGTATACATTGTCCCGGGACTAATTAGCAGAATCCTGTTTATTTCGTTAGACATTTTCAAGGCTGTGGAAATACAGAGCAAAGAAATGGCGATAGGGCCGAATGTTTAAGAAACTACTTCATTATCGCCCTTGAATCCCACAAAAGAAATTTCTTTACTTAGTCCTTACCTTTCATTTTGTTTTTTTATCATTTAAATCATTGTTAAATGAAAACGTGTCACATTAGAAATTTCTTCTAATTAACACTATCACATCAATTAGAACTTGATACATAATTATGGAATCAGAACAAGTGATAAATTACATAACTTAAATGAACTGTTTTTTTTTTTTGACAAATTGAAAAACTGGGCAAAAGCGTAGAAACTCAAAAACGTCCCAGAAGTCTACTTGAAAAAAAAAGGAGATTCATAACCGCAGAGAAAATACTCACTTTTAAGTGTGCAGAGTAATTATAAGAAAGAAATAAGTGCATACACTGCATCTCAACAAACAAATTCGCAGATATGTACATAGCATTGCGAGAGAGCAAACCACAGCACACAGTGAGTAAACTCATTATTCAATTTCGAATACACCAACAAAACAATTTACTAACCCTAATCACATTCATACATGCACTGAGCAATAGGCCGTGGTAAAAGACGAAACACAAGAAACACGCATAGGCTGATTGCGAGCGTAATCAACACCTCATATAAAAGCCGAGAGACGCGAGAAAGGTAAGAAGAAAGGAGAACAAGCGAAAGAGAGGAAGATTACGAGCGTAATCAATGGCAGAAGCCCATATCGTTCCTCAGCACGGGAACAATGGCAGGGGAGGGGCACGTCATCAGGTAGGTTTGAACCATCTTGAGGTGGAGAAGCCGGTGGAGAAGGACCACCACCGCCCACTCCGGCGCGTGGGTCTTGATCATCGCCGGTTCCGTTGTTGTTGTTGGACTGAGCGGGAACTTGAACTTGAAGTTTCAGGCCTTGCTGGCAATGGCCCATTCGGCCACATACGAAGTAACGGGTTCCGGGTGCGGTCAAGTGGATAACCGTATCTCCGGTGTTGTACGTGGCAAGAGCGTTGGCTACCGTACACGTGTCGTAACCAAGTGTGTTAACTTCCACCACATCGTGAACCGGCGTGTATGAGAACACTACCAACCATCACAGTTAGGACGAAACGTTCCGCATTTTAGTTAACTTTCTCATAATTTCAAATACACGTTGAATCTCATTAATTCACGATTAGTTTCTATATTAAAAATTTATATTTTAATTTTTATAGGAGTGTTTTGTTATATTTTAATTTGTTACGTCATAGTAATATTAATAAAAATTATTGTACACTAAATTATATTTTTAAAGTATATTATAATAATATAAACTAAAAATATTTAAATATATAAATTAATTCATAAATAAATATTAATTATAGAGGCTTAAACGTGGATTTTAATCTCAAATTTAAAATCAGGTTACGCTGAAAATGCCTTTGGCTTCGTCTCGGTTCATTTGTGTTACTACGCAAAACTAACTTCGAGAACCAAAACGATTACCTATCGCCTTCTGTTGAAGAACAATCGGAATGTTTGGCTGCAGAGAAAATATATAGAAGCAAAAAGAAAACGAACGCAAATTCGAATATTCTTGAAACGAAAATTAAATTAAACCGAACCCGTTGTTAATTGGTAATTAATTTTCTTCGGCAAGATTTGAAGCTTCAGAAATTCGAAGATTAGAACGAATGTGCAACGTTTTAGCGGAAATTATTTTCTCGAAGTGGAAGAGATTAGTGCAAGCTTGATTAACGCGAGTGGAAATGATGAAGAGAAAGAGAGAATGTAGATGCGTACCAAGATCGTCACCGACGTTAAACGTGGTTGTAGATGACCAGGCTTCCATATTGGATTTGAGATCCCAGCCGGAAGCTCCACCGACGGTGTGGTTCGTACCACAGACGCATCGGAACAAAATCGAAGTGAATACGATCACGATGATAGCCTTCACAGCCCAAGCTGGCCTCAGTCTCTCCATTTTCCTTCGAACGAAACAGAAAAAAATAAAAAAAAAAGAACATTGAGTTTAACTAACTGGTAAGCGATAATAACATCAAACAATATGGAATTGGAAGTTCAGCTTTGAATTCCAGAGAAATTATCGGTGCAAATGCGAACAATCGAAATTTAAAGCTTAATTAACTCCGATAGAGAAACAAATAGATATTGATCAGAGAATGCATTAGATAATGCGTGATTTAATCTTCTCCAGAAAAAAAAGGTGAAATGCGAGGTACCGATGGTAAGCTTCACAAGGAGACGAAGCTGGTTAGAACACAGAAGAAATCGTAGCTACCTGCAAGCTTTCAGAAAACGAATTTAACTCTTGAAGCACAAACGAAGAAGAAGAAAAATATTAATAAAGAAAGATGAAGAAGAAGAGAGAATACGTTAGAGTTTGAAGGTATGGCGGGGAGCGAGGAGAAAGAGAAAGTAGCGTTTTCCCGCCTTTATACATTACAGTGTGTGTGTGAGAGAGAGAGAGAGAAAGAGAGGGAGAGAGAGGTTCTTTCACACTATAGTTTTTGTTTCTGTTGCGGAGAGTCAACTACAGTGCGGGCGCAGTTACCGTAAGTATCCTGCGTCCGCTTTTAATTTGCTAAATCTCTAGCTAGTCTCTCATTTTGTAATCTCTTTTTTAATTTCTTTACAACTTAATAAAGCTTTTATTTGTTTTTGAATTGTTAAAAATCTATCATGTTAGTTTACGACAGTAAATATTAGTACCACTTAACCAATGTATTTGCATTGCACGTTAAATTTTAATTTAATATGTTAATTATCTATTAGACTAGTATTAGAAGCTAAAAAGTAAACATCAATAAAGACTTAAGATAACTCAAGGAAAAAATTGAAAACTTCAGAGTTTTTTGAAAGAGGATCATTTTGATTTGAACATAATTTTAATAATTAGCTTATTAAGAGTCAAATAATATTTTTTGAAGTTGTTGCTTAATGTGTCAATATTAGGACTAACTTAAAATATATTTAAATGAGTTAAGATTAAAATAAAATATGTATTAAGTTACAAATGAGATCAAAAAGTTATAATAAAGTTAAATATTGAAGTAATAATTTTTTCATTTTTAATTTATTATCTATTCTAGTCAAAGTTAATTTTATTTCTATATACACAATTAATTCCTCAAATTTTCGAATGATTTTTTAACAACAATTAAAGACCTGTTTGTATATACAGTTAAATGGAGTTATCATGCTTCATGATGGCTTCTTTAAAAGTGTGTATATACATATATATAATTTCTAGAACAGATATTTCAACAACAAAATAAACAAATTATAACTAGGCGTGAGTTAGGAAGAAGAAAAATGTAAATAAAGCGGTTGGTATATTTATTATTATTTTAAATTACTGTATTTCATAAATTACATAGTAGATATATTTTTATTTTTTTAATGTTACATATGTTTTTCATTTTATAAGAGTCAAATTCTAAATTGATAATATATTTTGACACCTCCAACACCGAATGCCAAATTTTGACTAAAATATTTCTTGGTCTTAAATGAACGTTCAAGACCAAGAACGATACAATTTCTTTACCACTCTAATATTTTAGGCCATTTGTGTAAAATGCAAATGGTCTTGCATGCTACTTTTTGATCATATAAGATTTGTGCACCAATTGTTGATTGCTATGTTTGCTGGAAAAATGATTTGGGTGGAATGCATCAATTGCACGTGGTTATGGCCAATTTTGTTTGACATAAGTTTTAATTAAAATGTATTTTTAAAAATTATAATAAATTAGTTGTTAGAAAAAACCTTGAAATATTTTCAAAAGACAAAATCAATGGTTTGTTCTTATAACATTTTGTATATGGCATTTATAAAACTACTATTTAACATTAATTATTAAAGCTATTAAAGTAACTTTTAAGATTTTCTTTTTCTAGAACGAAAAAACACATTCGCTAAACCATTGAATTTCACTACTTGCGAAGAAAGATTAAAGCGTTTGTTTTGAAGGGTGCACAGTAATGGCACTGCTAGATTAGAAGTATACAGGAAACTATGACAGAACTTCTGAACATGTTAACCATTGTTAAGCAACCAAAAATTCAATGCATAAAGTTAACATTCTCTATGTATTTCGCTAATAGAGAAAAAAAAAAAAAAAAGGTGCACTAGAAGAAAAAAGAATAAATCAAAATGGGGCATATTTTATTTACAACATCTTCAGTCGCAGACTCTTGAAGTGACACTGAAAGAAGAGAAGAACAATAATTGTTATTCCAATTATCCTTTTCTTAATCTCAATTAGTAATAGGAATGAAGTAATAGGAACAACAATGCATATCAAACCATTTGATGGACGGTCTCAGGCTGTATGATACATCAATGCCAAAGTGGTGCAAATGTGTGTCAAATTTATGTCCTGTTGCAGTGTGTGTTGATTAAAAAATTAGTCCTTAATCCTGTGAAAAAACATGATCTTTATAAACCCTCTTCGAGATAAATGCCACATATCAAACTATACATTTAAGGCTAACCCTATGCAGTAAAACTTGGAAGCATGGTTATATCTCAAATGTTTCTCAACATGCAAAATATACCTTATTATGGATATTTACTTCTATTGTAATGTATAGATAAAAAAAGGTCATATATATTTGACAAGTGTCTGAAATTTAGAAAAAATTATACAAATATAAAGGTCATCCAAAATTGAAATAGTCATCACTGAAAAAGGGGACAGACCAGGGCGATGCAACTCAAAGGTCATGCGACATTGCAAGATCGTCTGCAACTATAATGTTGTGACATCTATCCAACGGGCTAGCTCAACAATCTATGAACAAAAACCTCACAAGCCTTCTCCTGCAAACGTGAATATCGAATCGAATTAAGAATTAGGAAGTGCATAACATGAGCTGCCACAATCTTCCTCGTTTCATTGTAGGGTGGAAAGATATTAGAAGCAAAATAAAAGCTTTAATAGCTTCAAATTTGTCAAGGCAAAATAATTCTATATGAAACGTCAAAAATCTTCAATGCTTTTGTAATTCTCCAAGAACCTTTAGAACCAAGAGAATGAAAGAAAATATATGGAAGGTAACACAAGATGCATGATAAAAGTACTGTTATCTTACAATCAAATGTTGTCCAGCTTGGAGGAGTTGTAGTTGAGAAATCCTGTTTATTATCAAGCAAGCCAAAAAGATCAATAGTACCATTGCTCTTTGCACCAGAGCTGTCAAAATCAACTGATGCGGATGGTCTCTTTAATGGTGGTGAAATCTTCTTTTGCAAATCTAAGGAGCCCTGAATGGAAAAGATAAAGTTCAGATCATATATCAATTTTTTGAGATCTGGAAGGCAACCAAAATTTTTGAGTAAATCAAGAATAGAGCAACGCTACATAGTAGAGAGGAAAAAACAAGATGATAAAATGCAAGCCATGACTTGATCCTTGATATCTTCGTGACTACACACTCCTCCCACCACCTTCCCCCTGCCCTTTGAATTCCCCTTCTGAATATCTTGGTGTAATGACTAAAGGATGTGACTAAGTCCACCAAAGAAAAGCTATGGCCACGGCCATGAGATGTTAAATGCCATATACCTTAACATGGCATATGCCTTGCAAAAATAATTCAGGTTGAGGGCAAGTAATTCCATAAAATGGTATTTTTGAGCATTTTGAAATGAGAAGAAATAGTTACAGTTCCTCACTACATTGCCTTGCAAGGCAAAAAAGAAATGAATACAGAAGTTTCCACAACAGCGCAGGGTATCTTAATAGTAAACTAAGTCAAGCAACTGAAAATAACAACAAACTTCCAAGAAACAGGGGAAAGCAGTAAAGGAGCTACACTTGCAGATCAAACAATAAAGGTCACCTACTTAACAACTGTGCATGTGATTGGTCAATTAAATGATCTGTAGTACATGTATCTATGCAATTAAAATCTAAAAAATATTATTTATTAGGATTGAACTTCACATGAAAACATGAATACCCCATGTGATGTTGTTTCAGAAGGCCGAATTTGTGCCATGTGGTTAACAAGAATGCTTTCCTCAAGAGACAATCTTCTGTTCTTTTGAATAGCACTCTTGGCCCTAGAAGCTGGTGGTGAATTATTCAAGTTAAAGATTATTTCAGCTGACTTTGAAGCTGGTTGTAGTCCACCTTTTGAAGCCCATCTTTTCTCTATATACCTGAAAGATTTTAAGCAAGTTCATAACAGTAGAAAATGGGAAAGTAGATGCAACTTTAATCTTTAGGTTTCAAGTAAAATCATGCATGAGAATCCATTAACAGTTTACTTGGCACGAATAAACTTCTCGATTCCATATCCATTTCTGTCAAAATTTGGTGGCAGTTCAGCCTCCCAGTGCATGTTTGACTTGACATTACCCATGACTGCATAAAACACGAAAATCAAGAGATGAGATATGTTGCCATTAGGCACACAACTAAAGTACCATGCAATTTCAGCTGTGAGAGTATTCAAGAGCCCAACAAAATTTTCTAACAATTATCCTATTTTCCATGAGTAACTAGTTTCACCAATAAGTTAAATCAATATTATGTAAACTATAAATGGTATATTGACCGGTATATATATGGAATGGACCATACCAGTTATGTGATTTACTATTATAATTTTGTTAGACCTTTTGAGAAAATTAGTTAATTCAAGAGGAAAAAGTTAGATAGTTCCCCTAACCATACTTTTGCCTAAGAAAGTAAGAAACAGATTGTGTAGTTTCTTACATTGCATAAAAGAAACTTGATCTGGTAACCATGTATCCAAAGTTGTGGACCGCACCTACTTGCAAAATCAGAAGGCTTAGCCATTGTGAATTTATAAACTAAGAAGAAAAGGTATATATCAACCTTTGATATATGAACTCCAAGACTTCGGTGAATTCCTGAACACTGCATGCAAATGAATATTCCTAAGTTCACACTTGCCCATCGTGGTGCCCTGAAATATTAAAAAATATATGCTTATAAATCATGAAAAAACTCAAAAAATTCTAAGTAAATCATGAATGTTGAAACACAACTTGTTCTCCAAAATCAATGGATATGAACAACAAAGTGAACGAAAAGGGTTATACTAAGAAGCGGGCAAAAACAAAAATAACTTATAAATAGATGATGGTGTCAAACCAATCTTCATGTAAATAAAACAGAAGTGCTCAAATTGTTCAATACCCCCTTAGAAAAAGAAAATAGAAGACCTATTCATTGATCTACTGTAGTTAAAGATTCACAGATTAAAGACATTGATAAAACATAGGACAATGAGTTCTGAAAAAGCATGTACTTTGTCCTGCAGTCTGCACATTCCCGATTATCAGGTAGTTTAAGAAGTCCCTCCAAGATCTGCATACAGTCACAAAAATAAATAAAATAAAACATGAAAAAATGGATAAGTCGTTGCTAACTAGGCTTCACATAATACACTAAACAAAACACATTGTTAAAATATTATACAAATTCTATGTGCACAATGTGAAGACATGCTGTTGCGAGCTCTCGGCATCAAAACTCAGCTCTGAAGCATCGATACCTCGTTTTGTTAAATATATTTATACCCGAAACATACTGTACCTATATATGTTAATACACTTGGTACTTGTAAAAAATATTATATTCTTAAAATATACACAATTTGAGGATGATTAATATTACAATAAAACTAGGTGCAACTTGAAATATAACTTGGTATGTCTTAGATGCTAACTTGATAATTTTCCCTCCTAAAAATGACAGTCTTTTAGGTAAATTTAGGGAATTTTTTCATCTTTCTTTCAAGTTTCCTATATTTATTTTTCTGTAAAATGCAAGTTTATTAATTTCTTTTATTATAGATGTTTTTACAACAATCTATAATTTTTTGAAAATTACCGTATTTTGTACCCGTATTCATACTGGGTGGTACAGTATCCGTATTCATGAAACATAAGCGGCCAGATATGAATTGATGAAAGAAAAACCAAAAGGGATGGAAAAAAATGGAACCTTGGTGTGTTTGGCATGGAGCTCCTTAGAGACAGAGGCTTTCGAGTTCATGTTTGCAAAACCTTCAGCGAAGGAAGAGCAAACAAAGGAAGGAAGGAGGGGAAAGTGGGTAATTTTCTATTAATCAATGTGGAGTTTGGTTTGTTTGTGGCCCCACAAATTTGGAGACAAACACGGTTTGGGATGACATGACATGAGCAAAATACGCTAATTCCATTCATCCTTTTATGCCTAACCCTCACTACCTTAGTTTGGTTATTTAATTTTATAAATAAATTAAAGAACATTCACAAACTCAATAATAATATTTGAATTTGAAACCAACTCCATAAATTTATTAATCACATTCAGCTTTATATGTGCGATATATCATAAAGGAGAAAAAATAAACTCACTTCGATAAACACTTTAATTTACCTAAAAAGTAAATATATTTTTATAATTTTAATATAAAATACTTTTTTAATATTTTATTTTATTTTATTTTTAACGATGTTATATGTCGATGGGCAGGCATATCATAGATATCCTCACTGTAAAATTTAGGCTGAAATAAATAATTAATCTCAAATAGCAAAAAAAAATAAATCTCAATGATTTGATTTATATGATATTTTAAAAGAAAAAATTGCATATTGAGTTTAGTTTAATTAAAGAAAGTAACTTTTTTTTTTATAGTTTTTTTAAAAGCTTTCGAAGAGATAAAAGGCATTAATTATTTATTCAAATTTAAACAATTCCCAAGATATTATAAATATTTAAATTATCCTTTCCAAATTTAATTTTCCCAGTTTGTTCATAGTATATTTCTAATAATAAATAATTAAATTGATCCCTTAAAGATAAAAGATTGGTTTATAAGAGTTATTATAAAGTGGTCTATGATTCATAAATTTTCCTGTTTGTTAATATCAGCCAAAACGGATAATTTTAAAGATCTAAATATAGCAAGTTTTTCTTAAAAAAATAGTGCTTATTGCATAAAAAAAAAAAATCATATAATAAATATTTTTCTTAATAAAATTTTATTTTTTTAGTCACTTAAAACCATCCCTGATGTATTAATTTATCGCATCCATTTCTCATTGTAGTAGACATCAAGCAAGGCGTATGCATAGTCATTTGGTTCCTTATGAGCAACCAGTGGAAATCCATGCCGTCAACGTCCAACATTAACAAAAAGACTATGTTTGGTTCCTTATGATGCCGTCAACGTCCAACATTAACAAAAAAGACTGACATGTTCCCTTAACAAGAAAAAAGGCGAGTTCTATCCTTACAATCCAAGAACATAGATGTACCCAAGATAAAGGTAATGTTGCTACGTTCATCTTCAAACTTTTCAAGTTATATAAATTATATGGTGAAAAACTAACGTCGAAGTATATAATGGTGGTGACAAAATTGACAATGAGAAAACAAGACACTAATGCACACTCTTATTCAACAAAATACGGGACAGCACTCGTTAAATTTTTGACAAAGGGCATGCCGAAGGGTCTTGTCCCAACTTCCAATGTTGAAAACAGTTGATTCCCGTAAACTGAATCTGAATGGAACAGAACCAAAATTTTTCACATGAAATCATAATCATCCAGAGCATCATATCGATCCGTAATAAAATCTTCATCAGGTTTATCAACATTAAGTTGCTTTTTCTTGCCACCTGCAGACACAACACAACAGAAACCTTGAAAACACAGGAAAAAAAAAAAAAAGAAACGAGAAAAAGTAAACACACAAATTGAAAGCAATAAAGGGTTTTAATCCAAGATCAACTTACCTGTCTTCTTTTTACCAGCATTGGCTTCTTTCTCTGCCTTGATCTTCTCGTTTGCAATGGCAGTTATTGAAGATGCAATATCTTTTGCATCTGCTCCTTTTAGAGAAGTCATCGAAAGTCTCATTACTGCCTTCAGTAAACCAATATAATGATAACTTTTCTGCATTCATCAAAAAGGAAATTAGGATGCCCTTTCAACAAATATTTACGGAAGCAAGAAAGCAGAAGTATTTGACTGACCTCAAAAGGACGAAGCCTATGTGAAATGAGCTCTGCATACTCTAAGAAGTCAGTTTCAGATTTCGGTATAAAAGTATCAAGGTTCTTGTCATCTCGTCCACCACCAAACAATTCCTTAGTGGACTTATAATCTGCTTCCTCAACTAATCTGTGATAGAGTAAATTTAACAAGACATTAGGTTGCTTCATCTAAGTTAGCAATCAGCTTCTTTTAAATGTTGTAGTGAACTTAATTAAAAAAAAGACAATTTTACCAATGACATTACTTAAACATCAAATTTAATAGCATTGAAGAACAGAGAACGAATATGCCAAACCAATCACTCCAAACACCTTGCAAGTCATAAATATGGTGTAGGCTTCTCACAGTATTTTTGGATCATTTACGTTCAGAGGCTTTTGGCAGAAGCAAGGAAGCCAAAAGGTATCAATCCTTAGTCTTGCCTTTGGTTAAATAAAAATGCTTTGACTCACAAAAAGGTCTCAATCCTCAGTCTTGCGCTGGCACATTATTATTTCCTCAGCCTCTCTACGTTGTTCAGCACACAAATTCAGCCATAAAGTCCCATAGGTAAATTTGCATAGAAACTTAGAGCTAAATTTTGTGTTCATAGTTTTGTTGCAGGTTTTGCTTTGTTTCTGCTTTGTGACTGCCTTTCTTTAAAGTTTCATTTTGGGTTAGGATTATTCCTTACCCTCCCTCCTTTACAATCCATTTTTACCTCTAGTGATAGTTCTTTTACTCCAAAAAGAATAAATCAACTCCTCATTATGTGAGTATCATAGCTAGTTAAAGAAACCATTGAAATCATTGCACTTTAACAAAAGCAGTTTTTATGTAGAACTCAAAGAAGACATAGCGTGACAGAGAAATTGTACTTAAACGACACAAAGTATTAACATTTAACAGACCAATTTGTCAAGCAAACAAAACCAAAATGCCATTAAAAAGTACATGAAATCAACTTAACAAGGATAACCAAATTGAATGGAAAACAATATACCTTTGTTGGCGAAGTTTTTCAGCTATAGGGTCCAATGGTTCTTCCTTTACTGGTTCTACTTTCTTTCCCTTCACTTCAGTAGCTTTGTCAGAAGATTTTTTGGGAGCCTTTTCAGTAGTTTTTACAGCAGGTGCTGCAGGTGCCTGACAATATTATGCAAAGGAACAAAAAAATCTGGCCATTTATAACTAAGGAAATACAGCATCATTTCATTAGAAGTAATCATGATCCAAATTTAATTGTACTAGTAAAGTAGTCAATCTTTAAAGTGTATGTTAAACAAATTGCACCATTTTTTAGTTTTATACAAGCTCCCGACCCTCTCCTCTGAAAGAAAATAGATAGATATAACAGGAATAAAAATGTAACTGTAAATAATATCTACTAATTACTGATAAATTATAAATTGTATTGTCGATAACCATAGCAATTTCAATATTTTAGTAATCAAAAAGATATAAAAGATTAATGATAATATTGGTTAAAGTGGCATAGCAGTAGTGATAAGGGAATGCTAATAAGGCAATAAGAAGGTAATTTGCTTGGAATAAGAAATTTCCATCTTTAAAAATTGCACAAGTTACACATAAATGATCAATTCTCTGTTGTTATATCACTTTTAATTGTTCATACCGGAGCAGGCTCATCTTCATCCTCCCATGATTCCTTCACATCATTTTCATCAACATCTTCATCATCCCATTTATTTTTGGATTGATCTTTTGATGTAAGATCAAGGGGAGCAATGTGCTCATCCTCTGCAACAAATATCCATTGCACAAATTAAAGGGATAGAACAGACAGTAGAACAAATACAATATACAGCTTATGATCATGCTGTGTGCTTGAAATCATATAATTTGAGAATTGATTTGTAAATGGAATCTTTTGTTTGGAAAGTTACGAATAGGGATTCATTTTAGTAGGGTACATTTAGAACTTCACTCAGATGGTTGAATTTGAGCAAATATGATTTGATTATGGCCTTCATGTTTGAATTGACAATTTCATTCTTACAAGTTCAGCCATTTTAACTGCTCTAATTCTCTAAGTAAGCTTAACAAAGAAAAATTATTAAAGTAATGAGCTTATTTAATCTTCAATGATTCAAAAATGGAAAAAAAAAATGAATCAAGTGAAATTTATTTTTCTTATAATCATTGCCATTCATACACATTGATTGCTAATCAAATCAAATCAAATCCATTTTTTGATTATTCGAAACATACTCATAACAGATCAACACGTAATTAAACTGTCAATCAAACAACATTATAACTTCTGAGCACCTAACACATTCATTAGCAGGTAGCAGCAACTAATATAGTTTTATCTAGCAATTTGTGATACATACAAATCTCATATCCTAACCCTCCACTGTAAAAAAGTATCTAGAATAAGCAATACAAGGTGAGAAGGGAAAATATTAAAAGTGGATGGATTCTGGAGGTAAAATGAATAAGAATACAAAAGACGAAGACACATTAACAGTTTGAAACTAATGAAAGTGAAAACATTTTACATACATAATTAAAGAATTCAGCCAAAAAAATAATAAATTCCAGCAATAAGATAACATTAAGAAACAACTTAAGTCCATATACAAACAGATAAATGAAGCAGAATCTCATTACCCCAATCATCCATTTCTAGTCCTTTGTCAATAAAACAGAATTACTGCTAACCGACTGCATGAAGAATAAAGTTAGTCAGGACTGAAAAATCAATGATAACAATGAAAGCTCAATGAGGAGTAACAAACTAAATCAGATGGTAGAATGGAATATACATGTAAGCCATGGGGGGTGGGGGGGGGTGGGGTGTTTGAAAAAGAGTGACAAACTAAATCAGCAAATCTGTAGATTCACATCAAAATCAAAAACATTTATATTCCATTCTACCACTGTCAACATGACACTTAACAAGTAAATGCCTCAGTTATAAAAACTAATCAAAATTAATACAAGCATCCGGCATAACTGCAAAAGGTTTTCAAACATTCCAAAATCAGATTTTGAGACTCTAAAATAACCCAATTAATCTTAGAACCCAAAATTTTAAATATTACAAGATTCTATAATGTCAAAGGCACAGAAATGTGAAGTGAACCTATTCTTTCCAATACAGAATCTTCTAATCCTCAAACAAAACACGCAACGGAGTTCTCCACGAATAAAAACAAACACATTCAAGGGATAACACACCCAATCAAAACAATCAAGATTTCCAGCTATTGCAAAGAAGGGAAATTTCAGTATCGAAGTTCAATCAAATACAAAGCACATAAATATTACACCCAAGTAAAAAAAAAAAAAAAAAACTTTTAACCAGCTTAAAAAAACGAAGTTTGAATAACTGATGATGCTTGTCCTAATTTCGGCTCACAAAGTATCCGATCCAAGTCGACAACACTCCCTAATTTCTGAAAATTTATTATTCTAAGAAAACGTAAAACGAGAAATGGAACTGTGTTGCAAAATCAACTAAAGAAGAAGATGCGGTACCGTGAGAGCAACGAGGGGCACACCGTTGATCGGAATTAAGGGTTGGGGCGGTGGAGAGTGAGGTTCCGATTTGAGATATTAGGGCACAATGGATTTGGTTTGTGTATTTGGTTCGGTTGAGGAATATAAACCGCCGTCAAAATAAAACATTTTTATTTTCTTAGAATTTAACTGCATTTCTCCCCTTTTTTTGTACGAGGTAAGTGCTAAGTAGAAGATTAATGATTACGTGTACAATTAAGTGTAAGAAAGAAAATTTTGAACAGTTTTGTTAATTAAAGACTTATTTCAAGTAATTAAAAATATAATATTTATTAAAACTTTTAATATTTTTTATATTTTTATATACTTAATAATATATTTTAAAAAATTTATTACTTTCAACTTTTAGTTTTAAAGAGTAAGATTAACAATTTTTAAAATTCTAGTCATGTCCATTCTAACATTTCAGATTTGTAATAATTTATTATTAGATATTTTTATCTTTAAATCCATCGTACAAACAATTTTTTTTACCGTTGAGTAGTGCATAAGCTGACATAAATTGCTATAACTTAATATATAATTTTTGGTTTAAGTTTCAGTGTTTTGCTATGTAAATTAAAGAATTATACAATTTTTTTGTATGATTTTAATTATTACTTAAAATTTATTAAAAATTATGATTAAATAATTATGAATTTGTAAAGCAAATAATATTTTCTATTATTGATTATTGATAATATATTAACAAAATTATTAGATAAATTTTATAAATGATTTTAATGATGCATAAAATAAAAGCTTAATGTTATTTACTTAAAAAATAAATTATTTATTTGGTATTTGAAAAAAATATTTAATTTTTTTTATTATTTTAATAATAAATAAGATATTTATTAAATATATTTGGTCAAAATTTCATCCTCCTCTGCTGTCCATCTCCCCTCCCTCAAACCCACTTTCGCTTAAAATAAATATATTTGGTCAAAATAATATAACTTTATTCATATTCGGGGTTTCTGTGTTGGGATTTTGAATATTGGGAAGTAAATAAATAAAAGCAGAACGCATAATATAAATTAAAATAAAATCGTTTAACATATTAAAACATCAGCTGTATTAAATTAATTTTAATGAATTAAGATTCTGATAGATGGGTTTCTTAATCTCTTGAACTTTGACAGTTAATTAATTAAGATTCTCACGATTAGATGCACTGTATATCAATGATAGTTAATTAATAACGACAGAAGACTACTTTTTCCTTTAAAAAAATTGTGATAAATTATTCCGATAAATTTATTGAAATAAATTTATTAATTATACACATATTTAAATATTATTGGTTAAAATTTTTTAGATAAACCTTAAAAATTTTTAAGGGTATCACAAAATTTATCTTTTTTTCAAATAGGCCTTAAAAGTTAAAAGGCCGCATATGGCAAATGTAAAATGTTTCTCATATTGAATTGCCTTTGGGATTTTTCAGTGTGAAGATATCTTCAATCTAACAGGATTGCTTAATGGGCTAGGGACAGTGTTAACATTTAATTAGTTTTTGACATTTTCGTTTTAGATGCTTTAGATGAGTTTCCACTCTGCAATGAATACCTTGTGCTTTTTGTTTGTCTTGAGTTTGGACTAAAGCTCCAATGATGAATTAAGCTGGGGATACATAAAACTGTTAATTGAATCGTTCCAATTTCTGAAGATCATCATGTCACAAGAATTCTGTTGAATACTTGTGGCTTGAGCAATAGGAAATATCAAGAGATTCCGTTTGAATTTCAATGAAGCATTGAAACCTGACGGGGATGTCTAGACTAGAGATCAAATATAAAGTTGAGATTGCTATCTAAAACTAGAGAGATCTCAGGAGACAAATTAAAATACGGAACAATGAACATATTCAGAGAAACATACAAACAGCGTCAAATGCTCAAACTAAATGTCTAAAACCAAACTTTGCCCTAAAAACATATATCAATAAGCAATAGGATGACTAAATTTTAAGTGATGGCACACCACAAGAGAAGTTATATTTGGCAGTCTTAGGTTCCCCCTGCCTTAATGCCAAAAACCTTGAATCCTCGTTCATATCACCATTCAATGTCTGCATTGCTGGAGAAGGAAGAAATGAGAAAAATGAAGAAATTATGTGCCCAGTTCCTCATATGTGATTAAAAATCCATACGCTGTTGCCGTTGCACAATTTGTCTCTCAAACTTGCAAGTCCATAAATCTATGCCTTTTCAGCAACTGATGCTTTTGTGATTCTGAGGTATCAAGATTATCGTCTAATTTTCTCTTTCTATGAGGATCAATGAATTGAATATCCTCCATGACACATTCCTGTTTGCATACACGAATTCCGCATTTTATATTACCTGAAATCCCGCTTTGGTCCAGAAGACTTATCTCTGCGTGGTTCCATTCGTTGTCTAAAAGATTAAAACACATCCATGGCATATGAAAGAGATATGTATGAACTTGGTTACTAAATGAAATTCGAGGAAAGTATAAAGGTTGTCTAATGCCATTGACCATTAGAACAAATTCAGGCCTCCTATTTCTCCCTGGGTCAAGTTCCACAAGACAGAAAACTAATTGAGGGATCTTGTTACGAAACCAGAAAGATATCGATGTTCCCATGCTTCGGTGCTCAAACCATTCTGGAATCTCTGATCCTGGCAAACGAAATTCAGTTTCCATGCTTGGGTAATCTGGGTTATCTGATCCTGGAAAAATAGAATTAGTCTCTCTGGCCACATGCAGTTCCTGTTAATCATAAATAATTCATAAGTTTAGCAGAGTGGTATGCAGAATATCAAACATCAAGTCTAATGGACCAAAGCAAGACAAAACCTGGTTCAGTAACTTGCTTCTGCACGAGGGAGTCATGGATGTGCATCCAATTGCACTGAATATTTTTAAGTTCGGTGGAATCGCTTCAATTTCTTGAAGAAGTTTGCAATTGTTAAGATAAAGCTCGTTTAAAAAGCAACATTCTTTGATGCACTCAGGAATGATTACGAAATCATTTTCTGGCAGGAATAATGACCTCACATTAGCAAACCACGTGTTAACTACAAGAAAAAATTCATCTGTTAGTTTGCATCTTTGCATCCACAGTGTTCGTACGTTTGAAGAGCTAACTTTTTCTTCCTCCTCATCTTCTTTGTTATGCACTACGCACCCTTCGATTCCCGTGATTGAAATCTCAGTCAGTTCTGGCATCGTGACAATGTCCCAACGGAGAATGGGAGCAACAACATGGCAGGTGCAGTTTTCATATGAATACACGTCTAACCTTTCAAGCCGAGTAAGATTTATAAATGAATGTGGGAATCTTTTTATGCAAGGATCAGTCAACCGCAATGTTGTAATATGTTCCATCTTTCCTGATATTTCGGGAAAGCTCTCAAGGCTGCGACAATCTGAAAGATCGAGGGTTTCAAGTGAGGTTAACTTCAGTGAAGGGAAACACCTAAGACTATTGCATCCGTAGGAACTCAAGTATTTAAGCTTATTTAGTAATCCAACCGAGTCGTGAATCCTACATAAATTGCTACAACACTCAAACGACAACTTCTCTAAATTTTGGAGACCAGATACATCAGGTATCTCCGTTAAATATTCACATTTGTCGAAATTCAAACTTGACAAAGTCTTAAACACCTGCAACAAACACAAAGGAAAAAGGAAGCAAATCAATTAACTAAAATTTAATTCATTAAAAGAATATAACACATCAAGAACCGAAAGAATAAGTAAAAATACAAGTATAAGGAATTGAACTCAAACACTTACCTTTTTCAATAATAAGCCACTCAACCCGATTGATGAAATGCGACTCCTGCCCAAGTTACATATAGCAAGTTTGTTGGGACAAAAATCAGATGGTAAATGCTGTGAAGGATATTTCTGCCATTCCAAAACTCTCAAACTATTTGGAAGATGATTGCATTGCGAAAAACAACCATTCTTTACAATAAGAGTTTTCAGACTTTTCATCTTCTTCAAGCCATCTCCATCCCATTTTACTTCTTCTTCAGAAATAGGAAATTCTAGAAATATGATTTCAATTTTATTGGATCCCTACAAACATCATAGATAAAATAATTAATAAATGAATAAATAATAAAATACAAATAGACCAAAATTACATCTGTGTTTGTGTGTATTATTCAGTCACTATTATTTTCACATTTAATTTATTTATTATGATACAAGATTGATTTCATAAAACAGATCACATTGCTCTGAAGGATTTTTTTTAGTTCCTTATTGCCATTCTTCCGTGTCTTCCAAGAATTATGAAAGTGAATTTAAAAAATCAAGAAATATGTAATCTTTTAAAACAACATTTTTCTGTTTGCTCATGCATGGGATGTTTCCTCTGGTATACGTATACATGCAAGACTTTAGCAAACATAATTAAGTAGAGAAATTTTCTAGTTATAAAGAGAATTAGTAACAATTATGACGTGAGAAAACAATAGCTGAAAGAAATAAATCAAAGTTCAATATGAAAAACCAAATCATATATATTTGTCTTGTTCACCTTATCTTGCTCTAGAACTTGAACCACCTCTTTGTGGAACCATAATCTACTACGTTTTCCAGGCTCTTTAGACGATTCTTGTCGAACAATTTCCTTACCCATATCCTCTATCAAGTCATGCAATGTCACATATCCACTAATTTTTATGAGAGATTTGTCAACCAAAACTTGAATATGATGTTCCACACAGTAACCATGATGAGCATGGAGTATGTCTTTGACCTCTACCAAGTTATATCCTTTGAAGCAACAAGCAATGTCGAGAAAAACATTCTTTTCTTCTTCCTCCAAAGCATCAAAACTTAATTTAAGTGTCTCTAGGATTTTATTATTTGGAATTCTTTCATATCGATTTATAGCAGATTCGCATGCGTTTATGCTTTTTCCATACAAGCTGGAACCTATTACTTCCAAAGCCAATGGAAGGCCCGAAGCATAAAGTACTGCTCTATTCAAGACATTCACGTAAGTTGGATCAACATTTTCCGACCTAAAAGCTTTCCAACTAAGCAATTTAAGAGCATCTTCTTCGTTCATGACCTTCACCTCGTATGTTCTTTTAACACCGTGACTTTCTAACAGTTGTTTGTCC